GATAAGTAATTTTTTTTTACGTAAAATATAAAATCCATTTATTTATTTTTTCCGAGAATATAGGCTGTGACAAAATGACTTTTACTATGTTTGATTATTTTTACTGGGGATAGAATTTTTTTTATAATAGCAAATCTGAATTGACTTTTAGGGGTCTATATGGGCCCTCAAACAGCAGTGCAGCACTTGTATTTTAATTTTTTTTAATAGTATTTATAATTTCTCCAGATAATATCAACAAACTTATGGTACATAGTAGTTAAAAAAAAAAATTGTAATGGCGAAAGTTTTTTTACTTTAAATATTACAAGTTACTACTTAAGTAGGTCCGCTAAAAAAAAAAAATAATATGTCCATTCTGTGCTTCCGTATGGGAACTCGAATCTCACGTCAGCTGTCAATAATTTATAGATGTCATCACTTGGCACTCTGTCAATCAACGGCAACGTGAAGATCGGCTCTTTTTATATTTAAAACATTTTCTACGAAAAAGTAAATAAAAGTTTCTTTCAAAATATTTTAAATAAACTTCAAATTTTCTAAATTTCTTCGAATAAATATTGAAATACATATAATTAATTTTTAAACGAATTTTAAACGAAGAATTTAACTTATTTTTAAAATTTTAAAAAATATGGCTGATATAGAGCTTTTTTCGTTTTTTCTGTAAAAAGGTTTTTTTAACTAAAATTTCGGACTTGCTAAGAATGAGTAAAAAATTTCAAAAATTACTCAAAAAATACTTTAGTGTTTCTTCTCAATAATGAAATATACTTTTATCATGAAAAAAATTTTTTTCGTTAATTTTCAGACCGTTCTTGTCATGCTATATTAGATTTTCGCGAAATAAACGGAGGTACCTATTTTAGCATCCTCTTCAACTAACTTCAAATTATTATGCGAACACAAACCCTGTCCATTTAAAAAAAATATATCTGACTATATCAAGATAATTTTTCATCTTATTCAACATGATCTTCGCCCTCTGTAACCTAACTTTTTTTTATCCTGGAGTAACAAGGCTCCCCACACGTTTCACGTAAGATTTTATTTTTAAGTCTTTTTTTTTTTCACTTCTCTTTGGAGTGACAGAAGTAAAACTCCTCTAACGTGCCAAACGTCATATAGATTGACTTGGATCTTTCCTAATTGATCTCTTTAGCTCTAAGTTGGAACGATGACCTCTCTTCCTGTTGTGACCTCCTTATCCAGTTTTCCTATCTACTGTTCTTGAATGAACTTGAAAGATGGAAGCCAGACTATGAATTTTGGTACCATTACTGAAAGCCTGAATACTTTTTCCTGACACAAAACGATTTTCAGCTGTTCTCTTTCTAGCCCAAAAGGGTTTTTCAGTCATTCTTCCAATAAATGGTATCAAGATGGCTAAATGTCTGAAAACCTGGAAAAAATAAACTTAATTAGTGTGAGATGGTTTATTATACTGTAAATCGATTTGGACAATTTTGCTGTTACACTTCTCTCTGAGTTTACTCTGCTTAAAAATAGCCACTTATACAACAAGAAAAAAATGGGAAACCTGCTGATATTAACTGTCGAAGGAAAATTAAGCGGCCATGTTTTCAGTCAATCCTTATCAAAAAGGTTCGTTGATAACCTTAAATTATAAACCATAAAACAGAATTGTCAAGAGAAAAAAAAGGAAAATTGGTTCAAAAGCAGACTTCTTTATCTGACAAATTGAATTTTAAGCGGCCATGTTTTCGAGCCAGGCTTATCAAAGCAGATCGGTGCCACGTTTAAAATGCGAAACCATAAAACAGAGTTAAAAATAAAATGAAGGTGAAATGGAAGTAATTGCAGACAACTTTGAAAGAACCAGAAATTTTCTCCTTTTTGAAAATTGACGGTTGGCGTCTGGAAATGGAAAGATATACCAAAATCCTCAAGTGAAAAGACGAATGTGACAATCAGAATATTAAATCTTTCGAATAAGCGTTGGAAAGAGAGACGATTATTATTAGGCGTTTGGCCAATCAATGAATACAAAATACATTGCGACTGAGTCAGCGGTGATGTGTGAAGTGATTGCCAAAAAACAAGTGTGTTTGCGACAGACAGAGAGTGAGAGGACAGGCTCTGGCCATAAGTGTGAGGACAGGCACTGACCATGAGTGAGAGGACAGGCTCTGGCCATGAGTGTACATAACAAATTTCAAGTCTTCATTCCTGTCACCGCGGTAATAGTTTGTAATGCAAGCGTTTATGTAAACCGATTATTTGGGCAGTTTTTCACGCCTCGTAAGCAGTCTATAAAGTTTGGACCATGGGCAGTTTCAAATGATGCCGAGGTTAACTGACGAAAGTTTGGCCTAAGACATTATCAAGTTACATATGAATGATTAATGTCTTATTTTTCATTCGGTTCGATTGTGTTTTCATTTCACCGGCACACGCAAGCAAATACACTTAGTAGACACTGCTTCTCATACTTAGACTGTCGCATTCGTCTATCTTGGAAATAAAGCAGCTGCTTATTTAACACTGGCTTCAGTGGTCAGTATTCAAACCCAGAAAAAGAAGCACTTCTCATGCTGATTTTGAAAGCTATTAGGTCAGCTTTCATAGCTTTAATGATTTTGGGCTGGTGCCATATTTAGCAAGCCTTAGTAAATGTGATAGTTTTTTTTTTTATGACCTGAGAGGATGGCCTCAGCACAATGATGCGATTAAAATAACAAGCTGTGGTTCCAGTTGTAAGTCGGAAGCGCATCGAGGTGATACTTTTTCATAGTTCGTTGTTTAAACTATTGATTTATACACCGCTGGTTCTTATTCACGTCTTTAATCAGAAAGATCAACTCTCGGTTGGGCAATGTACGCGTTTCGCGCATCATCGAGTGAAGTCTGGCTCCATAAAATAAATATTGACGTAGAGTAATAAAGCCTGATTTTAGCGTTCGGTTTACAACAGGTACAGCGGCCTTCACAATAAGTAATCACGATGTCATTGATCAGTTACTGAAATATATTAGTCTCAATTTACAGGAATAAATATTATGAAGAAGCTTTTTATATCTGCGTTGGTTAAGCGGGCAGCATGATAAACATGTTACTTACTACAGAATATTGACTTCGAACGTCACAGGGTATTGTATACCTCTCATCTCGCGCCCAAACTAATCTTCTGCGAGCATATAGTTAAAAAAAAAAAGGGGGGGGGACATTTTTTTCTTGTAAATACCGTACGTTCCTTAGTATATTGCTAGTGTTTATATTAAAAAATACTGAGTAGTACTATACGTAGGCAATTTGTTTGAAGATGTTAAAAATCGTGTATTTTTGGATGACCGGTTGCACTACACAGTCAGGCAGGAATGAAAAAAAAATACGTTCAATAAATCTTCGTATTATATTTTCACTAAGTCGTTTGTTTCATTATTTTGCGGTAGCTTTGAACACATATGACAAGGGTGATGTCCAGTCATGCAATATTTGACTATGATAGGCCTACTAGTATTGCTCAGATGCTAGGGCCGAATTATACACGGGATATAAAAAAAAAAAAAAAAAAAAAAATCAGATTTTTCACAAAAGCTATCAAGGGACGCACTATACATAAAGTAGTCTTATACACGAGTAAATATGGTATATGCTCGCTGATTTCACCGAACAAACACCCGTTTCATAAAAGGATGTTATGCAGGAGGCAGACCCAGGGTAAAGGATCTACTGTTGTCAGGCATAAATGAAAACAAAATTATTCTATCTAAATTTTCATATCAAATATTTTACAAGTGGTTTGTCTCACTCATTTGGAGTAGCATTGTACAAAAAGAATGAAAGACATTTTATTCTTATTATTTTACAGTGCGACGCGTTTAAGTAGAAAAAAAAACAAAAGGATAAATAAAAATAAAACAAAATTCTCTAGACACTTAACATATTTTGGTACCAAAAGCTATCTTTCGCTATGACTGACCAGTCGATGTGCGCACATGAATGCCATCATTCGCTTTGAAATGGATACCACCACCCTACCTCGGCTTGACCTCTTTCCGAAGGTGACTGATATGTGGATAAAAAATATTTCTTAGGCCCCCTACCAAAATGGTCGCCCCCAGCCGTTTCCACAGAAATTAATTTTGCTAATGATCATGCTTCTGAAGATGCGTAAGTTTCAAGATTGGTTATTCCTAAATTTTCGCTTGAGGATGAAACAGGGCTTGATACTTTAACTCAATTTAATCTTAATAATTATACTGAGGTTTTCGGCTGTTGTTTCTGAAACTTGAGAACTCTTATGTAGCGAAGGAATCATTATTTTTTAAAAATTTATATATATATATAAAAATCAGATTTAGTCACAAACAAATATTTGTAGAGGAAAAAAATGTGCGAAAAGCGAAATAAAGAAATATTCTTCAAAAACAGCTATTTTATTGAGTATAGAAATAATCTTTTTCTTTCAAGCTGAAAGAAACAAGTTATAAAGTTCCTCGTGAAGAAAACCAACGAAAATGTTTTTCTGTTTAGAGAACGGAATTGCGTTAGTATAAGTGAAATGACGTAGGTGAATACCCTATGAGAACAATTCCTATTTAAGTAAGCTCAATTTGCATCTTTACCGCTTTGTGCATTGAATTATTTAAATATCGATTTTTACAGTGACGTCCATTAGAACTTTTATCTTACGCACTGAAATAGACGAACGTTAGCTGTGCATCAATTTTCTGAAGTTTACAAAATAATTGGATCTTTTCTGCTAACTCACTCCAACTAATATAAGGTTAATTATTGCAAATATTAATTCACCCCAACAAATTATAAATCGAAGTTTTTTTTTTCTTTTTATTAAGCTTTTGGCACTCTTTTGAAATGATAAATCCAAATTTGTTTAGCTTGCCATTGAAACAGAACAGCTTCCACATTATTGGTCACTATCCAAACCCTTATTTATATCGGAGTACGATTGTTAGCTAGGATATACATCTTTGAAGGATGATCCCAATTATATTCATTGGACTGTAAATCACAGTATGAATTTTGTTGACCCAGAAATATCAGCTTACACGCAAACAATCGAAAGTACCTGGCGGAACGCCAAAATGAAGAATAAATCAATGTTCGGTACTCCTTGCAACATGCTAGACTTATTTGTGAAAATTTCTTTGGAGACGTAAGGCAATAAACAGCAACAATTTTTTTTTTCTACAAATTGCAAAGGACATTTCAGAACTTTTTTTCGGTACCTTTTTCTTTTTTTCTTTTTAAAATAACACCCGGTAAATTGATAGTCTTTTTATGATAAAGTTTGTTAGTTTAAGAGGATGTTGAAATCAGAACCAGGAAATTGACAGTCTATTTTATCGGGCAACAAAAATAATATACAAATAGAAAAAGATTAAAATATAATTGTGCTTTACGCACCCCCATTTGTAAGTTCCATAGTTTGTACGACCGTTACGCCTTACCAGTACCCCAAATAGCTGACAATTCCGTTTGGATAAAAGTGGAAAGCCTCGAGACGTAAGACGCTACTTGGTTTCAGTGAAAAAAGAATGTTTAGCGTCTCGTGCAAATAAATAATGAACTGTTCCGTTCTGATCACTTGCGAAGGCTACATATCAGAAACGCTACTTGGTTTCATTGAGAAAATCAAAGTAAGGGAAGAGAGGTATGCTGAACGTCTGTTACAGAGAAATGGAAAAGCTTTGAATTTACAATCTGTTCCTTTGTATCTCTTCTTAAAATAAAGACCAGCATTCATATTTATGATCGTTATTGCAATATTTCATTAATGTTTTAAAGCTCAAATATTTAACGATATAATAGGGAAATTCCTACAGATATTTTGTCGTAGAACTCGTCACGAATTTATTCTATCATGAACTGAAGAAAAATTAAATTTAGAATAGGAACACTATGGAATTTTTACGGGTTAAAACTCGTAAATATTCAAATAAAAAGAGGAATTCAAATTAAAAAAAAAATTAATGTATTTACGCATGTACTTTGGATGTAAGCAAATATATATATATATATATTTTTTTTTTAAATCCGTCCTTTACCTGTTTGGAAATATTCCTAGAATACAACCAAAATATTATTATTATTTGAATGAAAATTTCTAAGAAATTTATGGAGTAGAAATGAATTTATTATCGGAAATAAACAACTGAATTCACAGGCACACTTTTTTAAATGATACTAAAAAAAGACAAAAAAAAAAAAACAAAAAAAAAAAACTGTTCTTATATACAAATTACCTCCCTTTAATTTTCCGTCACGTGCGCCATTCGACTAAGTGGAAATTCTATTTACACTTTAGATGAAGCTAATTTTTCAGGCAAATGGTATTCGCTTTTACGATTGATTCAGTGTCAGAACAATTCATTTTTTTCATTCTTGTTGTTCAAATATGTTTATTCAGTCAGCAAATAACTTGTTTGTCGTTGACCAGTTGATTGTTATTGATATTACCGATGTTACTAAGCAGAATCGTAACTTCATTTTCTCCAAGATTTATATCAAAGCGAAATTGTTCAAATTTATCCACATCAAATATCAATCATCTTAAAGACGAATCTAAAAATATTCTATAATTAGTGAAGGATTGACTATAAAATTAAGCTTCAGAGCCGCTAATTCCAACAAGGCCCCTGAAGCAGATTTTTTTTTAATGAGTGAATTTTTCAACAAAATCGATTCTTTTTCTGTTTTAAATGTTTCTAATTAAAGTAAGGCCATTTTAATGATAGAATCCTAAGCGAATGGGTTGAAATAGCTAATTTTGGCCTTAGAATATGCTCTAATACAATTTTCATATTACCTTGTAATGGGTCAAATTTAAAATATTCCTCGGGCTCTTGCAGCGCCCGAATCAACAACTGTATGGTTTAGGTGATGAACTCGTCAGGATCTATTCATAACCTAAATTTTGTCACCTGGATCCTCGAATCTGTTGTTACTGGTTGCGAATTTCTCTATTTCTTCAAGTTTCAGGACCCCACAAAATGTAGGTCTGCAACTCTGTAATATTTATATGCAATTAACTTAGAAAATGTGCTAGAATTTCTTTTGCAGGCAACTTGACACTCCGAATCAATTATCTCCCTTTGAGTTCAGATTATCTCGTCGATTATTTCCCTTTGAGTCTCATAAAGTAGAGAATTAAGCTGTCCTATCACATACAGGTAGTCGAATACGTGAACGTAATGAATAATAAGTCAATGTGGATGGAATAAACCAACAGATTCGGTGACGGGTTCATTCTCGCGAGTGATGAAAGCAGAATACATCAGAGTCGATGAAGAATGCATCTTACCAGCAATGTATGAAAATAGAGAAAATGTCGGAAATCAAACCAGGAAACGGAAAAGAATGATTATATAACGCAAACCACGAAGAAGATTATCATGGTGGTTACTTTCTAATTTCAAAGTCAAACGTCACTCATTCCTAACCAAAATAGTTAAGTATAAGGAAACCATGACAAAATATGTCATATCGTCTATGGACAAGAAAATTCAACACAGAATAAACCAGAGTGAAGTAAATTGCGGATAGCGAAAAGGATTTTCGCGTCTAAGTCGAATAGACGCAAAAAGTTAAAAGCCTGATGTTATATTTCGTGTTAAGAGGAATATATACTTGAAAAACAAGGTGGATAAACTAAGTAGAGGTTTATTGTAAAAAACAGTACAGTAAGAATAAAGCTAACAGTTATGCATAAGGTCGTCGCAAGTCAATCCAGTAGTGAATGCTACTATTGGAAGGTCGGTGATTCTAGCCTAAGTCTGAGTCGTACTCAGCAGATACCAGCTCGTAATATTTACCAACCTCCCCACGGGGTAGGAGGTGGCACTCGGCCGAATTTAATGTGGGGTAATCCGAGCCCGTAGGCTCGCCCAAAAATTCTCCTAAACATCGCTTAAATTAATTCTGGTCTGTTTACCTCCCCGGGCGAGAGACTGCTTTTCGGGATAGCCTCGTTTGGGTTCCTCTCTGCCCGAAAGTTCGACCGTGTAGCCGAAAAAGATTTCGGCTAGGTTCCGTGGTCCGTTGACTTACAGATACTTATAGGTACTTACTACCTATAGAGTAAGTCACTAATGGGGATGACAAGTTATTCCATTACATCACTTGATTAATATTGTTTTGTTCACTTCGGTCTAATTGTCTTGAAATACTCAATACTCATACTGCTACTGGTGCAATAAGAGAAACTGGACTCTTGCCTTGGTTACCAGCCAGTCTAAGTGAACGTTAAATGAATCCAGAACTTTGTTAAGAAGTAGTATAGGCTTTTGATTTTTTTAAAATCTTATAGGGTAACGAAAATCTGAATTCAAAACTAGTCTAAAGAAGAATGGGTTATGTAAGGTTTTGCTGATCGAGAGACACACATGCTTCAACTGCGTCTGCAGTTAGATTTTTGTCTCCAGCTATTCTGATCAAACTCTCTGCCTTCGGGCAGGGAGGATCCCCAGACGAGGCTATGTCGTAGAGGAGAGGCTCGTCTCGTCTCGGGAAACAGCTACCCGACCCGGTTTTATACGGGGAATTTTTGTCCGAGCCTACGGGCTCGGATACCCCACATTAAATGCGACCTTGTGCCACATCTGACCGCGTGGGGCGGTTGGTAGATATCATACATACTTCTTCTACAGTTGCCGCCAACATGACGTCTATGACCAGGGTACATTACGATGCAGGTGATCGTGACGAAGAATCCCAACTGGAGTAGATGATTCAAGAAAACTTAAGTCCCCAAATTCACAACAGAATTTTTTTTTTCCGCGGCTAAGACGGACAAGTTTGTACTTTCTTTATTTATATTTTTGTCAATGTTTCTGGCGATGCGGAAACGTGGAAAGATATAGATTTATAGCTATCTCAAGGTCCAAAGTTCACATTAGCGGCTTCAGTCTAAATTCAAACGAATTACGCAGATTCCGTTCACGAAACTAGTAACCGCTGTACTATCTGGCACGGTAATTAAGGAGCAGACAAATGAATGTGTCGATATTGAGTGGTTGATATGGTACATAAAATATTAACGACCACCGGAACGGATGTAAACCTACCTCAAATCGCGAAGCTCCAGAAATGACAGGATGTGAAAACATTTAATGCAAAGACCGCGGAGCAATTTAAATACATTATAAACTAGCTTTCTGCATCGGTAGAAACACTTTGCTTTTCACCATTCCGGTTCCCTCAAATACTTTTCCCTAGATTCTCTTTATTCTTCCATTCTCCGCCTGGTTCTCCTCGTTCCAAAAACTACCTCGCTCTCTCTCCTCGTTCCAAAAACTACCTCTCTCTCTCCGTTCCAAAAACTACCTCTCTCTCTCCGTTCCAAAAACTACCTCTCTCTCCGTTCCAAAAACCACCTCTCTCTCTCTCTCTCCGTTCCAAAAACTACCTCTCTCTCTCCTCGTTCCAAAAACTACCTCTCTCTCTCTCTCTCCTCGTTCCAAAAACTACCTCTCTCTCTCTCTCCGTTCCAAAAACTACCTCTCTCTCTCTCTCCGTTCCAAAAACTACCTCTCTCTCTCTCTCCTCGTTCCAAAAACTACCTCACATTCTCTCTCATATCGTTCCAAAAACTACCGCGCGCTCTCATCGTTCCAGAAACAAGCTTGCTCTCTCCCCTCATTCTCCTCTTCCAGAAACTAACTCACTCTCTATGTCTCATTCTCCTCTTCCTTTCTAGCTATCATCCAAACCACTTTTCATTTCTCGTTCTTCTCACAACCCACGTACTCTTTCCTTTCCTTTTTCTGTTCCCTTTTCATTCCCCGTCAACATTTTATCACTTTTATATCCTACTCTCAATGCCTGCTACTTTAATCTTCATCCCCACCACACATTATATATCCACATATAAATACCTATATAGTGACCATTCGCCATACAATCATTGTGATCGTACCAGTTATTAAGTCGTCCTTTCCAGAATAATTATTGAAATGGATTTTACATTTCATTACCTTCTTTATCTCTGTGGCAACTTTTTTCCTTCTACTGGCGTTTTCATTCTTCCTACACCGACTCCATTAAAATTACCGATAAATTCTTTCTAATGCATTTCAGAGCTCAGCGAGTTGATTTTCTAACTGTTTTGCAACAACATACATTTGGAATCAAATTCTAAGTTCCTGTCACATTCAAAAAGAAAGATTTAAGATGAATTAGTCTTCTATATGCTATGTCCCTTAAGAACGTGGGCGACCAGTCACAATTTTCAGCCCTTAGTAAACTTAAATTTTGCTATCTCAGTCCCTGTTCTACCAATCATTTACAGAAGCTCGTTAGGTAGGCGATGCGCTTCTTTCCTCTGTTCACTTTTACCTTCAGCGGTAGAGTAGTGGTCAGTGGTTCGGATTGAGGAAGACAAGGGCCGAGTTCGAATACCAGGAATTACATTCATTAATACCTTTGGGAAAGATATGAATCCATCTCTTCCCCCCACCCCTGCTATGAGTAAAATAGCAGGAAAGATTGGATACTATAGCTTTGGATGGCAGCTAATCTAGGAGAAGGAAAACTGAATTCAAACCAGTCTGAGAGGGTTGGACTTTGTCTTGCTATCGTTCCCAAGACACTCCTAATATGGCTTCAGTAAATGTGGTACCCTGACGTCTCTAACGAATTACGGGACACATGATCTCGATGCCTTGTGAAACACAAATTTAACAAGTCTTCTTTCCTTGTTATGTGCCTTATAAATATTGCTACCGTTTCTTTCAGATGCGAAGTATAGGTGTCCATTTTGTTTCCATTTTCTCTGAAATGGAATCATTGCTCAGGCCTCTATTTTTTTTTAAAACCGAACTTCTGTTCCAACAGGTACTTTCATCTGTGAGGAGATTGTCCAGCATCCACTGCCATCAAGGACCGATAGTATCTCAAACTCAGTACACTTATCTACCCAAAGAAATTTACCTGTTGCTTAATTTGCTTAACTTCTGGAAGACATCTTTCGCTATTCCAATATGCCCTCGGATTTTGGTTTCGCATTTTCCGACGTTTGTTAAGACACTCATGTCTTTTTGCAACACACAACCCATACTCACACAATCACTTTACACTTAGCGACCCATCTCTCTTTCGCCATCTCACTAATAATGATATTAGAGAACTATTTTCGTATGTAATAGTAATCGTTGCATACAGAGACAATTAGGTCAGATGGGCTGGCGACCACAGCAACAGGTTCAGCCGAATCTAAAAATAGATTATCACGTGACGAATCAGATGATCAAAATACGAACATAAACTCTAAGGACTTAATCAAGCGGAAACGAGTATTGTGCGAATATTTTTTTTTACTTGTAACAGTCAAGCAAGAGAAATCACACGATAAAAGACGTACTCCAATTCAACATGCTGCTGCTTACACTCAAGAAACGTGACAGTCCGCTCAGAAATGCATATGTGATACACTCAATTGGACGAAGGATCCGAACTATGAATTCTGCGCTGCTAAATATACCACATATAACGGCAAATCTCCAGAACCGAATGAACTTCCACAACCGACTAACGAAGGCGACATTGAAGAATAGATCAAAGGGTACCGCCACTTGAACGAAGAAAATGATTTGAAAGTAAAATAGACAACGATAAAAGGGAAAAGAGAAAATCTTATTTTATTTCAGAAGAATTGAAATTTTTTTGTTTCAACTTTTACTCTCACAAAAAACATGCATCTTTCCACGAAGAAATGCATAGAATACATCTTTCCATGCCTAAATGTTTTAATATATTGTCTAGATATAATTAAATCTTGTTAATTTGTATATCGACGTTTTGTCTTTTCTTACTCTTGGTCATCGTTCCGAACTTTTATTTGACCCTTCGAAGAATCCATCCACTATGAAGTGGTGAACCTGACGTCTTCTAGATCGGGGGTCGTCAACTGCTTGCTAACTATGCGCTGAATTAGGGTTTTAAAATCATTTAGTGTGCCAACAGCATACAAGTTAAGGTCAATATACCTGTTCTGCAATATATTATATAGTTATGAATAATCAAGAGTAGTCGCCCCTTGTTTTCTTACCCCCCTCTTTGAGAGGTCTGTTCCTGTTTACTCACAGTATGAAAGGACACTATACACAAACCTTGTATTCTCAAGTTGAATAAAGCTTTCTTACAGCCTACACCTGCGTACTTTTTCATTACAATAATATATATACATTAGTATATATTAAACTTGAAACAGCTGGCTATCTCCTTTGTGTTGTGGTAGTTATTGGTTCGGACTTTGTGATGTCATTTTCGGCTGCGTGCCATTGGAAATTGCTTGGTGAGGCATGCGTGCCGTAAGTTGCCGACCACTGTCCTAGAAAGCGAGTTTTCTGTTTTTATCTTTTCTTTTTAAACTTTGTGCTCCGGTAATTGACCGTGATACTTCCTAAATGTTTTTTTTTTTTTTTTTTAATAGCTTCATTCCGTTATTCGGACTATTGTCTTCATCTTCGTCGCCATATTTATTACAACGTTTTGGCCGTTGTACGCTCCGGCCTTCCTCAGCTGGTTGGAATGTCGAACTGAACCCTTTACTTCGCTCACTGGGGTAGACTTTTCTAGTTCCACGTGCCATGTCTAATGGACGTCAGTTATCAGTTATCTCCTGTTAATTCCCCTCTCCAAGTTCTCTACTGCCTTAACCGCGTATTGAACTCACACTCTTTGGGTCCTGTTACTGGATCCAACTAACATTTATTCACTGTGCCATGCGTCCTCAAGTCTACCCTAGTGAACGAAATAAGGGGTTCAGTTCGATATTTCAATCACCTGATGAAGACCGGAGCGTACAACGGTCGAAACGCTGTAATAAATATGGCGAGAAAGATGAGGACAATAGTCAGAATAATGTAAACAGTGTACATAATACTTCATCTCAGAAATATAGACAGAGCTTGATTTCGATGTCTCCAATCTGTAATTCACATATTGATCTATTCCTTTATCCTAACAACCATACACCCGCTTTTTTCCAATTGACCTTTTTTTCTCGATTTCTTTTACGACTTTCTGTTCTGGTTCCTGTTTACTTCCCTGTGTCTGCTATCAACATTGTCATCTCATAAAATCGCACAAACTGTAACTGTTTCTATTGTTACGATGTAACAAACCAAGGTAAGTGCTTGACTGTCTATCTTTCTCGTTTCCATATGTATAATCTTGCATACAACTTTCGTATTATCAATATTTAGCACGTTACCAGTCTGTCTCAAACTAACAATCCCGCTGTTATGGATGTACTTAATTTTATTTACTAACATTACGTTGCCTCCTGTCCACGTATGTATACATTATGATATCGTGAAATGACGGTCCCGAGATTTTCTGTCAGAAGCTAATTAACGATTAGTGTTATTGCCAAACCAACGTAGACGTGTATGTATTAGCTTACAATAGAACTTGTTTTGTGCCGTTTTCTTAAAATTATATTGTGGGTGGGGAGTGCTGTTTAGCCGAGTCTGTGCGGCAGAGCATCTTATCAAAACCAAAATGGCGGCACCCATTAGGAAGCTCGGTAAATAGACATTTTAATCGATTACGTTTCCCAAGAAAAATATACGATAAACAAAGAAACTGGCATTCTTATGCCGATTGAACGGCGTCCACGCGAAGTGTGACCGAAGTGACGATGTCTATCAGCCAGCACTCCCACACCTCATTTTCCTAACTAAGAATAATAATCGTCGTAATCGTGCAAGTGATAATTTGACTTTTTTCTCCAAATGGGTCAGCACAGCCAGGCAGCAATGTTATAATTATGCAGTAAAAAGGTTAATTATCGCTCTGATATAGCGACTGCATTGTTTTTACCTTCATTCAGGAGTTCCTAAAAAGATTTCTTACTCGAAAGTGAACGATATTTGATGTCAATACAGTAAAGAGGTAATTCCAAAATCTTACCTTCCTATGGACTTCGCTATCAGACGAGGCGTTTTCAACTCATTTCCTCTTTATAATAAAAAAAAAAATAAAAAGGTTATTGATAGAAAGTCTAACTACTAATATAGCCTCATCAGCTTTTGGTAAAATTAATCAAATACGAGTTATTACATACGAGTTTATTGATAAAGGGGTTTTTTTTTTAAGTGTTTCACCCCAAGCAAAACGAGAAGCCACTAGCACGCAAGTGGATACAGAGAGTTGGAGCGAGAGCAAATAGAAGTGATAGAGGAAAGGATGAAGAGAAGAATAGGGAATAGATCAAGGCATCTGGAGACGTCGATTGACATTACATTTGAATAGTTGAAGATTATAGCTATCAGGAAAACAATATATGGGGAGGGAGTTCCACAGGCGAGAAGTACGAGACATAACGGCTACATTTAACAGTTTCGACAGTGAAAGTGTGAAAGCCAGATTCCAGCCTAGTTGAACGCTTAAATTCATGAAGTCTGGGAACCAGCGAAAGCAGCTCATCGGATCAGTTACCGTAAAAGTATTTGTAAAAAAGACAGAGGAAGGAGACGGCACGTCTGTGAGAGAGCGAGTGCAGCCAAGATGCCAGATCAGAGCCAATTACTTTGCATATCCGTCTCTGGATTTTATCAAGGACTTTCAGACAAACAGAACGGGCTCCAGACCATATATGGCAGCAATACTTCATGCAAGGGCGAATGGTTGATTTGTAGATCTGAAGGATCGACTCCGACGCGAAATATTTCCAGGCGCGGCACAGGGAGCCAA